TTGGCCCATCTAGCCTGCCCAATTTTCTAAATACTTTCATTGGTCCTTGGCCTTATCTTAAGCATTGCCGGTGCAAGGATTCTTGCCGCCCTAGGCAACAATCCATTTCGCCGCCCACTCATGGACGCAACTGCATTTCCTCAGAGGTTTTTTCACTAAACTCTGAATTGCAGTGAGCATACATATAGGGAAGGAGACGCACTGGGTAGACATTAAGTGAAAGCAGACACACACACAGCCTAATACATACATCCATACAGTCATACTGCCTAAAACATACATCAATGCATTTGGTGGGATTTAATTTATAATAATGGGACTTAATTTAGTATTAACTTTGTCAGTTTAAAATGGAATTAGATTAATATATATTAAATTAGAATTATAATATAAGAATCTCTTCACATGGTCACACACATACACCTTCATTCAAACACAAACTCATACCACTTTACATAAAGTCACACTTTTTTTTTAACGCACACATAGTAATTTAACACACACACCAATTTACAAACATGCACAGGATAGCCTCCAGATATGACATACCTGTCCCATTGCTGTGAATGGGAAGAAGGGGTCCAGCCACCAGCATGCAGGATGTTCCTGCTTTCTGCTGGAGGAGCAGGAGAGCAGAGCACTGTGTACACCAGCTGCTTCCTGTTCCCCTCAGAGTGCTTCCGATGTTCACAGGCAGGGGGCAGCCAGGATACTAAGTCATGTCCCGGTACCGACTTCCCCAGCCTGCATGAAGCCGTGTGCTCTGCTTTGGTGCTGGGGTTACAGTAAACCCCGCTCCCTGAGCAGGTAGTGGGCTGCAGAGGGAGCCCAGCAGCTGGATTGCTGCGCTGGGGGGTGATTAAGGAGCTGCTCGCCCAGCACACCAGCCCCAGACATCAGCAGGGCAACCCACCAGTAAACTTCCCGGTGGGCGCCTCCCAGACGAATGCCTTATTCGCCTAATGGTAGCGCCAGCCCTGATCTTAAGTCTAAGCCTTATGCCTATCCCATGCATGCAAACTCCTTTACTGTGTTAACCTCTACTACTTCAGCTGGACGACCATTCCATGCATCCACTACCCTCTCAGCAAAGTAATACTTCCTGAAATTATATTTTAACCTTTGCCCCTCTAATTTAAGACATGTTGTGGTAGTTTTTTTTTCTTTTAAATATAGTCTCCTCCTTTACGGTGTTGATTCCCTTTATGTATTTAAGTGATTCTATCGTATCCCTCCTGGAACATCAACCCTGTTAACCCTGATATCTTACTATCATCAGCAAAAAGACATACCTTACCATCAAGACCTTTTGCAATATCACTAATAAAAATATTAAAGAGAATGGGTCCAAGTACAAATCCTTGAGGTACCCCACACTTCGAATATACTCCATTGACTACAACCCTCTGTTGCCTGTCACTCAGTCACTGCCTAACCCATTCAGCTATATTGGAATCCAGCTTAAAGGACCACTCTAGGCACCCAGACCACTTCAGCTTAATTAAGTGGTCTGGGTGCCAGGTCCTTCTAGGGTTAACCCATTTTTTCATAATTATAGCAGTTTCAGAGAAACTGCTATAATTATGAATGGGTTAAGCCTTCCCCCTAATCCTCTAGTGGCTGTCTCATTGACAGCCACTAGAGGCGCTTGCGTGCTTCTCACTGTGATTTTCACAGTGAGAGCACGCAAGCATTAGAAAGCATTGTAAATGCTTTCCCGGCTGAATGCGCTGAGCTCTTGCCGCGCCGCGCACGCCGGGGGGACGGGGCGGCGGAGGAGGAGAGGAGAGCTCTCCCGCCCAGCTGGAAAAAGGTAAGTTTTTACCCCTTTCCCCTTTCCAGAGCCGGGCGGGAGGGGGTCCCTGAGGGTGGGGGCACCCTCAGGGCACTATAGTGCCAGGAAAACGAGTATGTTTTCCTGGCACTATAGTGGTCCTTTAAAGATTGCAGTTTATTAATAAGCCTTCTATGTGCAACAGTGTCAAAAGCCTTACTGATTATCTAATCTAGGTCAGGGGTAATCAACCTTTTAATACCTACCGCCCACTTTTGTATCTTTGTTGATGGTAACATTTCCTTACCGCCCACCAGTGCCACAGTAACTCATTTTGTAACACAAATGCGATTTGATTTATTTTTTAATATTTTTTGAAAGGAGGGTTTAAAACCTTAAATGTATCTTTTTTTTTCTTCTTTCATTTTCCCTTTTTTCTATTCCACTTTTTTGTGTGTGTGTCTTGGAGGTGCGGTGTGTGTATGTTTGTGTGTGACGGGTGTGTGTGTGCACGCGAGAGAGGTGTGTAGTGTGTGTGTGTGTGTAAGGAGGGCAGTGTGTCTGTGAGGGGGGGCAGTCTGTGTTTGTGTGTGAAGGGTGCATAGGGTCTATGCTTTGTGTAGGTGGGTGAGATGTGAAAATCTATCTTAATGTCTTCACCTCCCTACTTACCTTTTACCAGGGAGGGGGGCATAATGCTGCAAGCCTTGGTGGTCTAGTGGTGACATGTCCACTTTAGTGTGCAGCTCCTCTGTCTGCAGGCTGACTCTCCTGCGAGCACAGCACAGCACCGGAGCAACGCTCCGACCAGCCTGCTCGCTCGAGGAACACAGAGCATGCCAGGCCCTTCCCTCCCTCTGCTGGAACTAAGTGCTTTGATTTCCTCACCAAGGCTGGCTCTGCATGGGTCGGCAGGGGAGATTAAATTATCTCCTTCGTCCACGGCCATCGAGGTCCACCGGACGTTTTCTGCAGAACCCACAACCGCCCACCTGAAATCCCAAACCGCCCACTAGTGGGCAGTAGGGACCAGGTTGACTACCCATGATCTAGGTAATCTAGGTTAGCAATGTCTACTGCACCATCCTGATCTATTATTTTAGTTACCCAATCCAAAAAAAAAAAAAAAATCTATAAAGATTAGTTTGGCATGATCTCCCTGAAGTAAACCCATGTTGTCTCTGATCTTGAAATCCATGTGATTTTAGATGTTTAGCAATCCTATCCTTTGACATGGTTTCCATCACTTTCCCCACTACTGAAGGTTTACTAAGGAAAGTATTTAGAAAATTGGGCAGACTAGATGGGCCGTATGGTTCTTATCTGCCGTCACAGTCTATGTTTCTATGTGCTTTGGGGTTGACTTTAATTTGTGCCTGTTCTCTCATTCCAGTGAGAATGATACTGCAGACCAGGTCTCTGCCAAGAATGTGACACGTTATGGGTAAAACAGAAGATATAAATCAGGAGGATATTCTTGTTCCTCAAGTATCAAATTCCAGTGCGCAAATAAAGTAAATTCATCCTGAAGCTACTTATGATAGGCACCTATAGCTAGGATAGTCTCAGCTAGATGCTCGGGAAAGAGGGGTCAAACGAGGATGATGGCATCAAACACGACACATTTTCACCCCCACAATTAGAAATGAAAAACCAAAGTTTAAAATTTTGTTTCTTTAAATAAAACTTTTTAAAATGTATTTTATTTTAGACAATTGGCCGTATTTGAATCTTGTAATAAGGAAATAGGATACTCGGTAATCTCTTGAAAGTTTGGCTATTCAATCCACAAATTGTCCATCTGAAGTCCAGGGAATGATCCTGTAGGCAGCCACCATCTTTAGGTTTATAAACAAGCACATAACTAGGTATAACTCCCACAACAGAGTTGTAAAACACATGTCTCAAACCACCATCAGTATCGTACATAACAGAAACATAGAAACATAGAATGTGACGGCAGATAAGAACCATTCGGCCCATCTAGTCTGCCCAACAGGATTCCAGAGAGGGTTTTTCACCAATAATGGATTGTTTACAGTCAAAGTCAATTTTACAGGAGCACTCAAAAGTACCATAACTGCACACTAATGGTCATGTGCCTGGCCCACCAATTCATCCAACAGAGAACTGGACTCACTCTGTGTTGAGCCAAGCCCAGTGGTTAAGGGCTTAGCTCTTTGGTTGAGAGTGATGAGCTGACACATTGAGGCAGTGAGCTAGCCCTGCACTGCATTGCTCAGCTCAGTAGAGCCAATTGAAGCTCCCAAGCAGGAGTGCGACTTTGTTAGATGTGGTGGAGGCCATGAGCTCACTAATGTTTTGGTGTTTGGAGTGTCAAAATGAACAAATAGACTTGGACAATTTTTCCTGTTTTGCTGTTGTAGTCAAAAGCTTTGAAAGATTACTCAATGTTCAACGTTCATACTTTAGAGGATTACCTGGTATGTGTAGCTTCATGCCAGACCAGTGCTTCAGCTTGAAGTGATCTAGTAAGAGATACAGGGGCAGCTACACACATGCCACAGGAGAGGTTAGAATAAAAGTAGATCCTGACCACTTATTTTCTTGCGTCCAATATGGAGCCATGAATCTTATTAAATGTAGTAGGAAGAGTCTCCTGTAATCTCCAAATGCAGATCCCCACCCACAGTAAGCAGATCCCAGACGCACCATGCAAGACACCAGGGAACATATGGGAGGTGTCTCAGGTGAGATCTCTTAAGTGTTTCAGTAGGACCCTTGTACATGGTCTCTGAAATGGGGCATTCACCATGGAGGCCATCAGGCTCATTGCAAAACCGACTCCTCCCCCCAATTCTCTCAGACATGGTGCCAGGTACAGCTTGCTTTGCTCCAAATTATACAGTAATCACAGATTAAGAAACCATAAAAAAAAAAAATAATTAAAAAAAAAAAAAAAGTGTTGGAAAATGAAAATAAAAATGATAATCTTTGAGGGGTTGAGACCAATCCCAGACATATCATTGGCTATGCTGGGAACCATCGCAAAGCCCATACACTGGTAATCCAATGTCAGTCTATGGGAAAGACCCCATCAATGAGTGATCATTTTAGCCATCTACAAGCAATTCCACAACTGCCATGTTGTTGCTGAGCCACGTGGTCAATCTCGGCTTATTGTAATGATTCAAAATAGAAAGAACAAAACCAAAAAGGAAACATAACCAAAGTTCAACAAAATAAAACCACCACAAATGCTTAGTTTTGGTTTTTGAACATGTTTAATACACATTTAAGATCAGTTTAAACATTAATTAAAACAATATAGTCAAGGCACACAACATAAAAAGTCACAACTTGGACACCAAAGTAGATGGCACACCTAACAATACTGCACTTTATGGTAACTTAAGGTCACACGCGTTCCAGAAATGTACAGAAGAAAAATGGATAAAGTTAATACCACTCCCATCACAAAGACCTTCATTTCTCCTTGGCAATGACATCTAGCCATGCCTTGATAAATGGCTTCCAAGCTCATAAGAGCACTGCCTCTTACCTACACAATTATAAAAGTTTATCTTAAATATTCATCTGTTCCTAATGAGGAGTGAAGTGTAGTTTAATGATCCAACATCTTTAATTGAGGTAGCGCAATGTGTTCCTGATTTCTAACCAGCTTAATGGGACCCTATCTGCTTCATCTCAGTAAAACTGGCTAGTGTCTGGAATCCCCGGTACCATCATTTCATTCAGCATTAAAAACAGATTTTAATGACAGAGTGCCAAGCAGTTCACCCCATCTGTGCTGCTTTGGTTAAGAGTATCAGCTGACTTAAAGGGATTCTCCAGTGCCAGGAAAACAATCCGTTTTCCTGGCACTGCAGGTCCCCTGTCCCTCCCACCACCCAGTTGCTGATAGGGTGAAAACCCCTTCAGTGACTTACCCGAGACCCACACCGATGTCCCTCGGCGGTGGTTTCGGGTCGCCACCGCTCCTCGTTTTCATTAAGTCAGCCAGCAGGGGAGACTGATCCCCACCCGCTGAGGAGACCTAATGTGCATGAGCTGTAATGCCGCACATGCGCATTAGAGCTCTCCATAGGAAAGCATTGAAAATGCTTTCAATGCTTTCCTATGGGGAAAATGAGCGACGCTGGAGGTCTTCACATCGCTTGAGGACGTCCAGCGACACTCTAGCACAGAAAACCTGTGCTATGAAGCAGGAAGTACCCTCTAGTGGCTGTCTAGTAGAAGCCACTAGAGGAGGAGTTAACCCTGCAATTTAATTATTGCAGTTTATAAAAACTGCAATAATTACACTTGCAGGGTTAAGGGTAGTGGGAGTTGGCACCCAGACCACTCCAATGGGCAGAAGTGGTCAGGGTGCCTGGAGTGTCCCTTTAAGCTGGTAAGTTTTATGAGGTTTTAAGTGGACTAAGGGAAAAGGCAACCCACCTAAATAGTGGTTTTAACACTGTAGGGTCAGGAATACACGTTTGTGTTCCTTTCTATAGTTTTCCTTTAACCCCTTAAGGACCAAACTTCTGGAATAAAAGGGAATCATGACAGGTCACACATGTTATGTGTCCTTAAGGGGTTAACTGCTCTAAAATGGTTTAACACTAAACGGAAAGAAAGAGTCTGGGTACCCTGGCACTATAATCATTTCAAAGAGATCGTGACTACAGGGTCCCTTTAGTCTGTCACATGGTGGTAATTGGGGAATGCACATCCCTAGTTGAACAATCTTAAAATACATTTAATAATGACATTAAAGATATTTTAAAAGTAAGAGGAGTTCTTTAAAAATTCCTAAGGGGGTGGGGGGGGGATAGAGAGGGGTACATGTAAAAGAGAAAGGTAATGTAGTGGGTAAAAAATTTAAATAACAGATCTGAAGGTTTAAAGGCAGATTAATTGAGGCATTACTACGAGCACTTTATTTCAGTTTGGTCATGAACTGAATTGATATAGAAAGCGGTTTCAGACTAAATGCTATGATTCATACTATATCTACCTATAATATTATTTGGGTTGTAGAAATATAAATATGCACATGTGTTTTAGATAAATTGAAGACACATTTCTAGCCCTCCCCCCCCCCAAAAAAAAAGCGGTAAATGCATTTGAATTATTAAATTAGGAGTAGCACCAAATTCAGTCATTTTACCATGGTCACAGAATGCAGTATTTGTGGCATAATGCAAAGCTCAGCTTCTGGGACACAACAGGCAACCCATTAAAAAGGTAGGACTAGGCTCAGTGACGCTGAAACAGTTTCCCCAAAAAGGAAGAAAAAACACAATTCACATTATTTGCATATATAAAACAATATATCTGATATAAAATAAAAAGCTCTATATACATTATGAACATTTAGATTAAAATAATTCCTGCAACAATGATTTAAAACAAAAACCATAAAGCCCACACATTTAGAAGATTACTATATGGATCATTGTCCTTTTGTGGTTTGCATAGTCCTAACCTGGCCACAGAATGTCTAAGCCGAAAGTATATATAGTCCCATCTGGGAAACCAATCCACCTCTGGAACAATATACATCAGAAGGCATGGAGGGGGTTGAAATTCATACTTTAGAAGTATTTTCTTCTGCGACCATAGCAGCTTTGTACACCACCATTTTCTTCTCATTCTTTTTGCCCCTGTAACAAAGACAGAAGTTAGTCTATTCCAACCAGCTAAATACCAAGTATAGTAGAAAACATCTTCCCATGGAAATGTATTGCAGTTAAGGGAGGCAGTACTGAAGTCACATGAGTTGCACAAAGTGTCCTTTGGGGTTAGCCATTAACTATTGAAGGTCAAGGAAGGGTTTTATGAATAGGATGGTTTTAAAAAGTTGAGACCAAAGTGACCAAATGAACAGGACCAAGAGATTTGTTACACAGAGGAACATGAGAGATAATGGGAAGGAGGACAGTGATTGAGATATGGTCTGTGGAAGAAACAAGCAAAGGGTAGAAAAGGTGTTTAGACTAAACAAGTATGAAGAGAAGAAAAGGAGGAGGGAAAGCAAGGCTGCAGGTGTATTTTTACAATTCTAAATTTTAGACAAAATTAGCAGAACTTGAAGCATAGAGGATTTTAATATTTTAGCTTTTGTGGCCTAAAATTTGAAATTCACTTAGATTTCCTAACATTTCTCAACTTTGTGAATATTCCTTAAGGTGTAATGAAGTAGAAGACAAATTGATCTTTATTTTAGAAATTAGATAAATTCTTTAAGTAAAAGGGGTAAACATTACAGTGAAGGCATGGTAATGGGACATAGCAGCATTGTGATTTAGTGAATGTGGAATTGTGAGGTAGATTGGCATTGCAGCAGGCAAGTCTGACAAAGAGGGGATCGTTAAAGATTATTCTGCAAATTAAACCAAACTTGAAAAGGAGATAGAAGTAATACACCAGTATAGGAGCTTAGTGTGAGTAGGTATTCAGTAAACCGGTTCAAAGACTAAACCGAGGACACCACGTCAGGAGAATAGCATAGTACACTACATGTTGGGATTAACACAGTATTTTTGTCCTGTACCCAATGGTCACCAGATACTGTAAGAAACTTTATAAATTGTGACGTGGATAGGCTGTATATTAGGATGGTGGTGCCACCTTAATATAGCTGTATGAGTTGAAGGTCTAATATTAAGATGCAAAATCCTGAGGAACATCATTGCGAATGTAGTTTGAAGTGTAATCTTCTGGAGAAAGTTATGGTTGATTTGACACATCCAGCTTTACCAATAAGGAAAAAACGCATTGACAATATCCCAAGTCTAGTTAATATAGCACATTGAATGATATTCAGAATAATGAAATGTATTTTATAAAATGGCTAGATAGCAAAAAGTCATAGATTGAATAATAAGATCTTTTAGCCTGATGGTTCCCAGGTCTTTGTTCATGTCTTACCGTCTTTTACGATTACACAGATAGCAAGTCACTCCGGTAATCACCACTACACCGAGGACCGAGGCCAATGCCACAGCTAAAACTACACCTGTAGGACACAATGAAAAGAAGTACATTACAAACCCCAGGACAATACATTAACAGCAAATGTCCCATCAGAAGGAGCATATATTTAGTAACCTCTCTAATACACCCCCCTGGTCACTTGTGATGGACAGCCAGATTAAAAAATGCAAAAAAAAAAAAAAACCCTGCATTGGGACTATTCCCCAGATGAGGATGCTTTGTTGTATAGCACATTACTCACCTTCCCGAAAAGATACGGACACAATCCGGTCTCCTTTATTTTGTAGCTGGCGATAATTATTTATCATTTCCTCAGTTACAGTGCTGTTGCCATCGGTGCAGTATAGCGCAGTCTCCAAGGATTGCAGCTGTAAGCAAGACAAGGAACTAAACAGCGATCTGATCTGATCATTTTCATACCACATACTGTGCCGTAATTAACAAGAGGATATTAAAAAGGGACACCACACCCCTAAAGCAATTTACATTGCTCCTGTGCTGTCTGAAGAGTGTCGTTTCCCCCCCCCCACCTTCTACAAAAGGTACACTTTCATAAATTAACCTTGTTACACCCAAGGCCTGTTACTTTCTGGTTGTGTAGCTCAACACAAGAGGGAGGTAAACTCAAGAGGCAGCAATTGCCCAGAGCACCTGCCTTGCAAAGACTTCTCATTAAGCTGCAATGGGAAGTCTGTGATTGAACAGCCACAGAAAGTCTGGGCGGGGTTAGAAGGGGATGGCTTGCAAAGGCTGCAGACACATATAGCTTTCACAAGTTTGATATACCCTCAGCAAAAAATAAATGTGCAAAACGTGTTAATTTGAGTAGATCTACCAAGCATAATTTTTTTTTTATATAGTTTGCATTTGGGTAGGTAAGTGTCCCTTTTAAGACAATACAAGCGTGAGACACACAGTACCAAAGAAAATCCTTATACTCACCTGTTCTAAAGAAATGAACACTGGATTTCTAAAGACTGTCCATAAAACACTGGGATTACAGGGTGGGGTGGTGAGAGATCCCTCATAACGATAGAACTCATCCAGCCTTGTAGGCAGCAACGTTTGCAGATTAAATCCAGGAATTAGAGCATTCTGACCTGAATCAGAAAAATCATGGATAGGTAGAAGATAAGAACATCTTTTCTTTGCACTAAAAATAAGTAACAAATTTAGCAATACATTCTGCACTCACACCATTTTCCAGACCCACAAGTTCTCATTAGTGGAGAACTGTCCATGAAATACTCAAAAATAGCTTAAAAATTGTGTTTTCCTGATAAATCTAAAGATTCAAATGACGATAGTCTGTATACTGTAATAGTGATGGCAATGCCACCTTAATATTTTTACCAAATACCATTATTCTTGTATAACACTACCACATCACGATTTTCCACCTGTCCCTTTTAAAATTGTGCCCTCATTTTGTATTCATTATATTTTCTGACTATTCTAGAGAACGCATGTTCAATAGATTATTCACAAAGTATTGCGGATTACAAGTGTGCAACTTCTGATCTAATCTGAAGCTTGTTCGTTCGATACACCCATGGTACTCTAGCACTGGAGGTCACCTTTGTATTTGACATTGACTAGTCGAGTCAAGATTCCGTCATAGGATGAATGAAACGAACCAACCTGGAGGAAAGTTAAAAAAAAAAAAAAAATAATTTAAAAATTAACCACCACTTTTTTTTTTTTTTTATGGTTTCTACATTTTATTTTTATAAAAAAAATTTTGAAATAAAACCCCCCTCACCCAAAAAATATTTAAAAAAACAAACACACACACACACCAAACATTTGCACCAAGTAAATGAAGAATTAATATGCATCTATAATTCTCTCACAAACCCGCAACTCATCTAGGCATACAGGTTAGCATCCATTCAAAAAGCCAGAGTGTTGGGTTCTACGTACCATGAGACAAATGATCTTACCTCTAGGAGGATCCCCAGTACAGCCAGCCCATCAGCAGCATTCATTGCAGTAGCAACATCCGCATACTTAGAGTTATAATGCACAACATGCACCTGGAAGGGAAGGGTTATAGTGTAGCAGTGTGAATAATGGATATATTGGAGAATGTTAAAAAATCAAAACACCTTCTGCATTTTATATAAATCAACCAGATTACAAGGCCTGAAGTTGGGTGTAAAAACCATTGTGCCATATGGGTCTAGGTGATCCTGTACATTCTCCTGGAGCCCCCTTCTCACAGGGGAAGGGAGACAAAGAATGGCAAAGGAGAAGACAAAATTACACAGAGGGTCTGAGTGGGAACAGAGACAGGTGTTTGGGGAGAAAGATTCACAAAGGGGCTGGGGGGGGGACGGAAGAGAAGAGAAGATACAAAGGAGAAGGGACACACAAAGGGGTTTGGGGAGAAGAAAAAAAAATATATATAACCCCACACATGCTTGCTGGAGGGAGAGAAAGGCATGCCAGCCAGAGTAATCAAGGGGAGAAGAGCCGCCACCTTGGACTGGGCATTAGATGTCTAGGTTTTAGCATGATATTGTGAATGGGAGCCAGAGAGTTGGAGACCCCTCTTCAGGCCCCATTAGACTCATTTGTAGTCTAACAGGGTTTTGAGGTGACACATACAGTACACAAAATTGTGCAAAATATATTCTTAAAAACACAAAACAAATGAAACTGGGTGTTTTTTTTTTTTTTTATTCTAAAGTTAGAAAGTGACAAATACAGGATCTGCCCCAGGTGGCAAAGGCTCTAGGTACACCCCTGCCTTCGGCTATTCTATATCCACGCAGTATTGCCACTATTGTGATGAAAGGCACTCGTTTACAAGAGGTCTGTCTTAGAGAGGAAATGTTAAAGAGTCATTCTGGAATTGTTGGTTCAGGCTGGTTTCAAACCCTCCAACTACCTGGGGCAACTCTTATCTTGTCTCAAGGTATCAGTCTTTATGCAAATTGCTTTCGGTTTTCTCATAACCAGGAAGGTATTGTTGCTCAGTATGCCAAATCTTGATGATCACAATATCAAATTCCGATCTACAGACTTATTTATCGAAGTTGATTATTAGTAGTGTATTCCTTGCCAAATTTAGATGCAATCATTTCCCCCCCCTAAATTGGTACATTTAGTTGTTGCCTTTCACATACCTTTAAAACCCATCAGTTTTCACTTTTTTTTTTTATGCAATTAAACAAAAAAGGACCAGCGTTTCAGTCCAAATCAGAATCAAGGATCACTATAGTGTCAGGAATACAAACTTATTTCTATATTGTTAAAAGCACTATCTAGTCCCCCTGATCCCCCTAAATATAGCAAAATCTTACCTTATATCCAGCTCCTAGTGGATCCGCCGGAGCTGGCTCCATCCCAGATCGGCCCTCTTTGGCCAAGATCAGAATTGACCATTTCAGCCATTCCAATGCTTTTCTATGGAATATTCAGCCATTCCAATGCTTTTCTATGGAATATTCAGCCATTCCAATGCTTTTCCATTATGATTGGCTGAGATCACCACTTATGACATGGTACTGACACCAGAACAACTACAATAAGTTTAATTTGTTCTGGTGACTATAGTGTCCCTTTAAATCATTAAAGGGACACTGTCACCAAAACAACTTAGCTTAATGAAGCAGTTTTGGTGTATAGTTTTCTGATCTGATGAAGTCGAGTGTATTGGCGAAACGCGTCACGTTCTGATGTCATCGCGCTCGCTGGCCATAAGCCCCGCCTTCCAGAAGTAACATATCCAGTTCTTGGGGTCTTGTGAAGCCGGCATTTGACACAGACTGGTTCACTCACTCATTGGAGGAGAGACAATACAAGAAAGGGGATTTACCTACCTGGAAGCAGTTTTGATCCAATTGTGAATAAAGTTTGTCTACCTTCACCACAGCCTGAACTCTTCATATTTACAAAGGATGCCATTAACGTTCAGAGCAGACTTTACTGTTCTACATTTGTGAGTGCTTTGGTTCATTTTATTTATTCCTTTTATACAGTACATATTGCCCTGTGTGTTTGTCCTTTTTTCTTCTTTTGAAATATCTATTTGGAACCCAGTGACAAGCAAAGTTGAATACACCCCAGTGAGTATTATAGCATAAGGAGTTTGCATTGTTTTTGTGGTCTTAATAAAAATTGCACTTTTGGTACAAATATACGGTCACACCAGTTGTTTTATGTGAAATATACTTTTACCATAACGTATTTATTTTACTCTTAAGACACAGCGCACTTTATTTTTTTTGTTTATGCAGGCATATCACACAAATATATTGGTCTTTGGGAGGTGGAACAAAAAAAAAATCCATGTCTCCAATAATTGCTCTCATATAGTAAACATTGGTCTGGATTTTAACATTTTAGTATAAAAACCTTAAAAAAAAATAATAATAATAATAATTAAATAAAAGTAAACAAAAAATTTATTTTTTTTATACAAAGTTAGATTTAAACAAAAAAACAGTACCTCTGCTGCAAACCTCTTGCCTCCGATACAGTGTTCTGATCCTTTAGGGTGTGCCAGATTGCCCCAGTGGAAATGAAGACTTGAGGCAATGTACGTGAAAGGTGGAATTTCAATGGACATTGTTGGCAGCAGAGACATAGAAACTGGGTAGGAAAGACATTCATTGAAGTGAATCTGTGCAGGAACTAATTCAGAGTCCATTGTTTTCTGCAAGACTCACCTGTATGTCCATTATTAGACAACGTGAAGTAGTCTGTGGTGGAGACGTTGTATCCTTGCAATCTGATGGGATACAAGGTAGAGTCATACTGCAGAATACTATGGTGGAAATCTAGGGGAGACTGATGGACTCCTCCACAGAACCCATATTTTGTTGGCCATGAAGTCTCACCATTTTCACCTAGGATTTAAAAAGAATTCATTAAAATGTGTGGACAGGTTTTTGTACCTTAGGTCTCCCCTCACTAAAAAGGGGTTTAAAATTGTTGATTTGTGGATCAGAAAGTTGCGCCAGACATTGGAAAATTATGAAATGTTCAATGATGAAAACTGGTCTAAAGGCAGTGACATACTGAGTGTGGGCAGGGAGGTCCACCCATGGGGACAAGTGGCAGTGTGGTACACAGCATAGATCCCACCCGTCCCCCAGAGTTAGCACTTTCCTATTGAGACCTTGCTTGTGGGGGTGCCATGCGGAAGAGGTCGGCTCTGCGTGTGTGTTTTCGTGTGCATGTGAATTTTTATAATACATGCAAGTTGAAATTTCCTAACAAAAAGTTAGTTGGGACCGATTGAGATCCCAAAATATTTATTGTACAGTTTGAAAGAGGGGGGGGGGGGAATGAAATACATTTCCAGTGCAGGTGCCATGTAACCTTGGTATGCCTCTAGTCTAATGTACCGGAAGTGGGACAAATACTTAAACTAGTCAAATTACATTAGGTCTCCATTTAAAAAAAAAATTTTTTACCACATTTTAGAATAGAACACTAATAAATAACACCCCTTTCTTCCCTTTATAATATAATATTTCACTATAAAGTGTCTTGACCTAATAAATCAGGTTTCTGTTCGCAATTTCTCCTAGCGAAGTCCCTGTGAAGGCGGGATCAGGACTGATGACAAAGAGCTTACTGTCCTGCTCTGAAATCTACCGTATTTCGAACTTTACCTTGAATAGCACCTTGTCAGCATTGATAAATATGACCTATATTACCCCGATTTCCTCCTGTTGGGTGTTCCAGCTGGCATATGAGCACATGTAAAATGGGAAATACATGCAGCCGATTCCAGTTACATAACCAGAAATATGGTGATATAGCTTTAAATAACCTAAAGGAAAATATACAATAGTGTAATACTGTTCGAATAGCACAAATCCCAAGCAAGCTCAGTTTCACTCACAAGCTAAAAGTGGTACAGAGAGCCTCGGGCGCTATTTCTTCATCAATTAATCAGATAAAAGGTCTGGAGTTGATTCCAGGTATGAAATTTGCATTTGGAAGCTGTTGCTGTGAACCCCCAACATGCGGTCAAAGAAGCTCTTAATACAAGAGAAACTGACCATCCTTAGGTTGCAAATAAATAAAACTCGAGAAAGATAGCAGGAACATTAATAGTGGCCAAATTAACAGTTTGGTACAGGAAAAAAATAAAATAAAAAATAAAATAATAATAATATATATATATATATATACACACACACATACACACACACACACACACACACACACAAAATATAAACACAAAACAACCCCAAACCACACTGGGGAGCTCTGCAACACAAACACCTGGACATCCATGTAAAAAGAAAAACCCCTTCACAACATCCAGCCAAGTGAACAACACTCTCCAAGAGGTAGGCATAGTATTATCCAAGTCTACTACAAAGAAAACTTGACGAGAGTTAATACAGAGGGTTCGTAAACCATTCGTAATCTTCAAAAATAGAAAGGCCAGATTAGACTTTACAAAAAAAACAAAAACAAAACCACACCATCTAAAGTCAACCCAGTTCTGAAAAAGTATTCTTTGGACAGATAAAACCAAGATCAACTTGTACTAGAATGAAGAGGGGGAAAAAAATAAATTAAAAAATGGCTTGTGACAGGTCATGATCCGAAGCATACCACATAATATATAAAACACTGTTGAAGCAGTGCGAAGGCATTTGTGGCTTCCATTCGGCGAGTCAATGACCTGATCGAGCATGCATTTCACTTGCTGAAGACAAAACTTTACTCAAAGACCCACAAACAACTGAAGACGGCTACAGTAAAAATCTTTACAAAGGAGGAAACCAAGCATTTGGTGGATGTCCATGCGTTCCAGACTTCAATCATGGCCTGCAACATTTTAGTTAGGATTGTGTTAATTTGTCCAATTACGTTTGAGCCCCTGAAATAAGGGGACTGTATAAAAATGGTTGCAATTCCTAGACATTTCAAACGATATTTTTGTTCAACCCCCTTAAATTAAAGCTGAAATTCTGCACTTCAATTGCATCCGTTTCATTTCAAATCCATTGTGGTGGAATTATGAAAATTGTGTCAGTGGCCAAATGTTTCCAGACTTAACCAGGGGAAGCTGCCACCAGTTTAGTATTTTTCATATTTAGCAATTTTATTTTTGGCTGGTGGTTATTTGTTTTAGATTTCCAATTTTATGGTGGTCCTAGCAGCTAAAACATCTCCCCCACCTTGCCTGCATGTTTTCGTGAGCTATATTCCTTCTTCATTCTCCAAAAGAATGCCTGGTACGAGTGATTTATCCAACCAGCAGTCACTGCCAGTAATGACCGTGTGCAAGTTACACTGTGTCTGCAGGTAGTATGTTACCTTACAGGTTCCGCTCTGTGAACGCCGGTAATGACTGGATCGACTATAAAAAAGGTGGAGGTATAATGGGAGTCAAGTAGCTTTCTCCCAGACTGGTTTCATTGCACATCGAAAGGTCCCACAATCTAAAATGTGCTTTCTGAAATTCTATTCATCAAAAATGACCCCAGCTCTCTATAGCTTTTAATTTACAGAAATACGGGGGGGGGAAATCATCACTTTTTAAAATCTCTAATCTGTTCCTATGTATGTCACCCAATTTCAAGAGCATTAAGTTTTTACTGCATGTGTGTAGGTGGGGGAGAAACAGATTGACTGAAAATTTGGAATTCAAAATTAGCCAGAATCAAACTTCAAACAGTTCACACTTTTGTGGATAATAGATATGGAAAGTAACAATTTAATATGGCTCCTAATGTGGCAGGTAAAGGGCAATCTTCGCGACCAGCACTAATGCAACAAACCACCCAATTACTGAAGAGTTGCACAGCATATAGATTTCAGGTCGATATGTTAATTTTAAATACACACACACACAAAAAAAAAACAAAAAAAAAAAACCCCAAGACACTTTATATACACAAACTATACAGCATGTTTATTTTACGCTAGGTTGCTAGACTTATTCCAAGACTTTAACTTACTTTTTTTTTGGAAGTTCTATAGTTGGATTCATCAAAACACTTCATGACTGGTCTAGATTTTGTGCAGTATATTTAAAACAATTTTAGCTGAAGGAGTGTATGTATACCTTACAAACCTCATAGTTAAACATATAGCTCCCCCTCATCGCCGTTTTAAAAACAGAGGTTTCAGTGGCCTAGAGCCAGTATAAAAATAAATATCTACTTAAACAACAACATGTCCGTTCCAAATGCCTGTAAGATGAGGTATAAACTCAGTTTCGATGGGCTTTATTTTGGCATTTGTTATATTATATCCAATGCATCACTTCAGTCACCTCCTTGCTATAATAATCCATTAACAGACCTAAATCAGATTCACAATATCATTAACTATGTTACGTTATAGTTTGTCACACCCTCCAACACAGGTACTGTGGTACCATGCCCACAATAGTCATTTGTGTGAAATACCAGCATATCCGTCTTTGAAGCAGGAGATAAGAAATTCTAAGTTAAACAGAATTTGCAATAAACATTAAACAGGAAGTTTTTAGGAAGGCTGGGTAAGTCACATGCAGAGAGTTGTGACTAGGGCTGAACTAAGTGATTTAACTCCTAAAAGGCAGAGAATTGAGAAGTGAGACTGCAGGGGCATGATCTATACACCAAAACCGCTTTATGAAGCTAAAGTTGTTTTGATAACTAGTGTTTCTTTAAAAGTTCCAAACATCAGAAGCCATTTCAGACAAGAAAAGATCAGGGCAAACAGAAGCAACGGGGCCTATGTATAAAAAGTAGTCTGAAGTCCGAAAATCGGGCAGTCACTATGGAAACCAGTGGGAACATTGCACAATGATCCCGCCCATTTTTCCATATTTGCACCACGTTTTATTCCTCTATCTCTGCATAGGTTCCCTTTTCTGATGAGAAGGAGAGAGAGCTTATAACAATGACGGACAGGTGCCCGACTGCAGAACTGGGGTGCGGAATTCAAAACTTTAACTGGTGAGATACAGAAGTAAATATATAAAAAATTACTGGGAAGTTACAGTTCCCTTTTATGTTATACTCCAAAATCTTCTTGGGCACAAGGTTCTTTTGCTTAACTACAATACTCTACACACAAAAGATATAGTCAGAGGTTTGTATGAGTCATTTAATACATAACATATTGGTACATTTTATGGCAGTCTGTACATTGAGGTTAATGTTATAATGTTTAAACCAAGTTACAGTCAATTAAAAGGGATAATAGGCACTATAATAAACCATAGCCCATTTAAAGGTTTATGGAGTAGTATCTTCTTGTACTGCTCCCCTACCCTGTGTTACATCACAGTAATAAAATTAGAGGGGCAAAGGTTTAATAATTATTTCATGAATTATTATTTTACTGAGAGGGTAGTGGATGCATGGAATAGCCTTCCAGCTGAAGTGGTAGAGGTTAACACAGTAAAGGAGTTTAAGCATGCATGGGATAGGCATAAGGCTATCCTAACTATAAGATAAGGGCAGGGACTAATGAAAGTATTTAGAAAATTGGGCAAACTAGATGGGCCGAATGGTTCTTATCTGCCGTCACATTCTAGGTTTCTATCACTATTTATCCTCCAGACATCTACAATGAAAAGCAAAACAAGCCTGCACAGACAGTTCAAGGTTTAAGCAGATGTACAAAGCCTGCCCAGGTTCTACATAAGTTGCACGTGACAGTTCTGCAAACCAAAGTGTGTTTCTTGTTCTAAAGCAGACAATGCTGCAGCAATATCTGCTACCCCCCTTCCCCCTCCCCCCTCCCACCCAAAAAGGAAAAATAGACTTACTCTTCTCCCTGTACATTCATTTTTATAAAATACACATGACGTTCTATTTCCCACCTGACCGGTTCTATTCTAGAGGTACAACGGTAGCTGTATACATCTAGTCGGGGTCTTGGACAAACGCTGCAGAGTCCATTTACATTCTGAGTGGAGCAGTCAGCAATGTAACAGAACATTACAGCAGTTATCAACCTATCCAGCAAGTTCACTCATCAGATCTGATGTACGGAGCTCATGCTGAACAGCATATCTTTTAAACCTCCACTGAACAGAGGAAGAAATCGGATCATCAGGGCCGTCTTTAATATTGACTGGACCCTGTGCAAAGCATTTGCTTGGGCCCCCTGGACCCTGTCCCCCCTCTTCAGGCGTGCAATCACGTCCTCCACCCCAACACAGTGGCGGACCTAAAGTAGAGAGGTGCAAGAATTTTTTGGGGCCTCCCTGTCGCACGGGTGATTAAAAGGTATATCCCCATCTGTCATGCAACTCCAGAAATGAATTGACAGCTTGGGCTCTACCATTTACCCATGTTTGCAGGTCTGTATTTAGCACTAGGCAGTTTGTGTGTTTGAATGTAAACAGGGTTTTGTATGGAATATGTTTGTATGTGGTGTGATTGCAAGCGTGTTTTTTTTTTTTTTTTAAATGCAGGGGTGTATTTACATATATTTTTGGTGTGTAACACAGACATGTGTTTGTACATAGTGTTGAAGTTTGAATGCAGAGGTGTATTTGTGTGTAGTGTTCGAGTGTGAATGCTGAGATGTATAGACACACTGACAACATTTACACTTTAAAACCCACCCTCCAGTTTCCTACCTTTCCTGCTGGTGGCTAAAGGTGTTGGGAGTTGGGGTCTGGGTCTCTCGGTCAGCCCCCCTACACTCTGCCTACTCTTCTCTCCCGCTCCTCTCTTTGCAGGAGGAAGTGATGTGCGGCTGTCACTTCCTCCCAGCCGGCTGCCGAAAAGCAAGGGGCCCGGCCGCGCTGTTAAAGCGCCTCAGCGCGAGACCGGGCCCCTGCTGATAGAAGCCCAACAGATGGCCCTTTGTGCATGGGCCATCCGGTGGGCCTCCTTTGTGTGTGGATTACCGGCCAGGGGAGTGAGAAAAAGTTGAGGCCAGCAGGGCTCACGGTGCAGCTGCTTCAGGCCACCCAGGAGTAACTGGGCCCGGGGCAGCTGCCCCGTGTTAACGACAACCCTGAAGAGCATGAGAAAATCCAGATTGGGAATTAAAACAGACAATTAACAGGGAATTAAGACACATACTGCTGCATGCAAAAAGCAGGTGATTTCTAAAATGCTGTTTGAGTGCTACCAGGTTCTGTGCGAGTGATGGTGTAACGCACAGTAAGAACTTTGATTGAGTAAGTGGGATGCATATGTTCAACAGCTATAGCAACATTTATTTTTGGTCCAGACACCGTGAGGTGGATCAACCCAGTCTACTTTTTTGCATTGGCACGAAGCAAGGGGTTGTACCCCAATTACAGTGACAGGACCCCCATGGGTTCCTCTAAAATAATTAGCTTCACTTTCAGAGTGGGGGTAATTAAATACCAACTCAGGTTCCTTAGATGAATTATGCTAGGATGGTTAGCATTACAATATCATTTTAATACAAGATATTTACAAAGAAAAGTCTAAAAAAATAAATAAAAAAAAAATAATAATAATAGGTAGTGTTACATTGCAGCCTAGAAACTCCTCTAGTTGCAGTCACTCAGACAGCCACTAGAGGTGCCTCCTGTATCATTGCTGCACAGGCGTATAGAATCTCCACGATCTGCATGAAGTTGCTGAAAGTTCCCCATAGAGATTCATTGATTCAATGCAGCTCTATGAGGAGATGCTGATTGGCAAAGAGTGGCTTTTTACTGTGGATGCGCAAGAGCCTCTCAATGCGATTATCTTAACCATGGAGGCGGAACAAGCCACAGCAAAACGGCGTGCCATGGGAAAAAAGGGGAATAAAAAAAAAATCACCTCTCAAGTGATCTAAAGAGGGGCACCTTAACAGCCACATCAGCACTGTAGTGTTAGGAATACAGGTTTGCATTCTGGACACCATGGTGTTCCTTTTAGAATTTCTGCCAGTTAATTCCCATTATGTAGTATAGAGATAAGGAAACAAGGTAAAAAATAAATGTCTACAACACAAAACCATTCTGCTACAAAATGATAAAAAAAACACCATACAGGTGATCGTTAACACTTACCAGAATATGCCCAATGGTAATCTGCAAAGACAAAAATCAAGAAAATTTAGAGCCTGAAGATTTACAGTAATACATCAGACAATCTTTACAAAAGCAAATATTGGGAGTTTTAACAAAAACATCCCGGGACACTATTTATCTGGGTTTTATTAAATTAATGTATGTGTAATGCTATTAGAAAGGCAGGCTAGCAGATTGGAACTAGTGGCATAGTTTTATCATTTAATGAACCTTGATCATAAATCTAGATTATCTGATAACGCACAAACATACAGTCTATAGATTACTTTAAAGGGCAATCTTTGCAGCCATGAGTGTCACATGTAACAACAAGTAAAATGAGAGAAGCAAAACACACACACAAAAAAAAAAAAAAAACCCCACACAATTTGCTCCTATTAGTTTGGCTGGCTGTGCGTGATTGGACATCCAAAGATGACTGCAACGCTCAACAAGTCCACTACAGACAAGATATTCAGCAATACCAACATTAAATAAATAAAATTATCAAAGTAGGCTACTTATAATCTCACAGACCCATAATAATTAAAAGTAAATGTCTAAACAAGTGCTCATTCAAAGAGAGCCATCCAAACTGACTTCCTACTAACTATTCAATGGTTAATAGAACAAGTGCATTGTCTTACCATCAGAGGCTGCCCAGGCAGCTGGTATGGACAATAAGGGCAGAAGCAGTGTGAACATCTGTGTGAGTTTCAACTACTGAGACAGTACCAGGGAGTTATCTAGACTTCTTCCACACACAGACAGATCTAGCACAAATCACCTCCTCAGTTACATACAACTAACTGCTCTGTTAGACTCAGCCCAGATCCTCCCATCACCAGTAACATAGCCCAACCTGTTACCTGGCATTGACTGTGACCCCTCCTGCATCACCCATGATTGATGACACCTGCTGTACTGAGCATTCCAATAAAGAATCAGGTAATGACATCCAAGGTTTCACAGAAGCAAATTGTTCTCATACTAAATACATTTCCAAAGAGATAAAGTATCCACCTCAAAAGTAACACAGAAGTTCATTTAACTCCAATTTGTAGCAAATTAAAATCTGAATGGTAAAATTTAGCATCAAGTAGCTAAACTGTGTCTATAGCTGAGTAGGAGAATATTTGCAAATATGTTATTTTAGCTTACATTTTGTCATTCAGATTTTAATTACCCACAATCTAGAGTTTAATGAAGTACACTGAATGTGAATTAGTTTGGGTGAAATGTTTAATGGGTTAAAGGGGCAATTCAGGCTTGTAGTGACCCCCATATACTGCATGATAATATTTGGAAAAATAAGATTAAAAAAACAAGTTCCAACAGGCAAGCAGAAGATTCTGCTGTCTGGGCGCCATGTTAGAGAGCCCCTGACCTTCTGGGCACCATCTGTGTCCATTTATGATGCACATCATGCAGCATCTCACATGGCTCTGACCACTCCTCTTGATCCCATCCTTGTCCTGTTGTGGTTTCCATCCTGGTTATCCGATAGCGTGTTATATCCTATTTGATTACTGGTTTTTAATCTTTGCTTGTCTTGACTACCCTGGTTTCTGTATCCCCGACATTGGCTATTTTAATTGATTCCGTGTACCTGTAATATTCGTAATATTTCGCTCCATATTGACCTTACTATTTCTCTGTGTTTATTATGTTAATTCCAACTATTCTAAGGTCTGGTAATACGTGCCTGTCTGTTTCCCTTTCCTTGTCCTACGTGACTGAGTCTGTGTTTTGGGTGACAACAGGGAGGTAGTGAGTGTGCCTAGTTGAATAGTTCATATCGATGCAGCATTCACATGACATACAAATATTCTGTACATGCTGAGGAGGAAGAAAATGTATACAGCCTCAGCAATATTTGCAAATTACTGCACTTATAAAGAAGTAGGTGTAGGAACATCGTGACACTTTATCGTAGTATAACCTATACAAAGAGTATACCTTATTTTGTGGATTGGTACGTTTCTATAAATACCTAAGCTATTTAGGAGCAAACTAACCTAATGCAATAAATATATCTATATCTAACTGGTCATGGGATGAGAGTCCATGAGAAACACATAGATTAGTTTGACAGTATTTTATAACCAATAATACAATTATGTCCTCTTGTTCCAAAAATGTAGAGGTATTCAGAAGGGTAGATTGGGTGGTGAGGTTCTTGGTCAATGCCTGAACAGCTTAGTTGGGAAAAAACATTTCGCTTCTTCTTGTAGCATGTAGAAAATAACCAATTCATTTAAAATAGGTTTTGTTTTTCACATCTTAACTGTAAAACATTATTTTTAAAACTGCACCAAGATGACTGGGGAGATCCTAACCCTCCATCCCAACCACTACTTGTTCAAGGGGAGTCCACGTCCATTCCCCATGCTTTGTACACTAATTTGGTGCCTTTTGGAAATCAATCAGAAAAGGATTCCAAAAGAACGTCCATTAATAATTTATTTGCCTTCTAAAGCAAAAGAAGGCTTTGTATTTCTGGTCAGCACTATTCATACACTGGTCACGAGCAAGTGTTCTGCTCAAAAATGTAAGGGAGAGTGTGACTACATACAGAGGAAATATTCAAAAGGTTATGTCCCAAGGGAGTCAGCACTGGGATTTTTTTCAGACTGTTTTTACTTTTTTCATGATAGTTTCAGTTTCACCCCAAAAACAATTAGGACATTACGTGACTGGTGAAAGGAATGCAATATGTCCTTATTGCATTCTAATATACACAAACACACACATTATATATATATATATATAGTGATTTTAGGTAAATAAGTGGGATTGTACATACATTTATTCAATTTACAAATACTTACCATGAGTTCTGGCTTGCAACCCAGACACACTGAGCATCTCAGTACTTTTCTTAATAGTCCCCTCTATGAAGAAGCTTGGGAGGAGATCTGCCATAAGTAGATTTTTCTTGTATTTTTGCTGCCTGATTGAGTCTGATGGCCCTCAGCCCATGTAACACAATGAAGGTACACGGATACGCTATTGTACCGTATTGTCTTCTCCAACTATTGCTAGGGAAAAAAACTTGTTTTCATGGCACTATAGCTGCCTCCCCCCCCCCCAAAGGGGTTAAAAAAACATTTACCTGGGTCCAGCTTCAATGTCCGCCTTCACTCCTCCCCCGCCGTCTAACTAGCGTGTATTCGCTGCAATGGGTGCGTTCTCGCATGAGAATTTCCCCATGAGAAAGCATTATACAATGCTTTTCTATGGGGATTAAGGTGACGCTCGATATCCTCATGCATAGTGTAAGGACGTCCAGCGTCAGTTAGATGACCAAAAGCCCGGAAGTCCTTATAGTGGCTGCCACTAGCGGTGGAGTTAACCCTGAAAGGTAATTATTACAGTTTAAAAACTGCAATCCTTACCTTTGCAGGATTAAGGGACCTGGAACAGTGCACCCAGACCACTTCAATGAGCTGAAGTGATCTGGGTGCCTATAGTGTCCCTTTAAAGCTAATCCTTTTTCTTATCCTGGAAACCCCTTCTGTAACAAGAAGTTGTTTAATGTGAATTCTATGAACATGTTCTCCCTACTCCCATCATATTCACTGATCTCTTCTCTAACAGAGTATGTTCGATAACTGATTAAAACTACTTTGATGGAGAGAATTGAAGAGATCCAACAGAATTTCAAAACAGTCATTGCTGGCAAGGAAGCACCAAGGGATATATTGATAAAACACGGGATTTAGCCCTAGCCACAGCTCCGCTATTTTGGCCTAATAGAACCACTCACAAAAGCAAGAACCGTCAGGAATTCCAAGTGAATTTGAAATTGAAGGCCAAAATATTGAAACTGGACATATTCTCCCCGTCCATCATCTTTGCTTCCAGTCTGACAGTCTGTGTAATGCAAACACACGGCTGTCAGTCATGCAGACAGTTCTGGTGAGTTTCAGTACAGTGACACGTGCACCAGCTCTACGGGTTTTCATAGTTTCATTCAGCATAGGGGTTAATAGGAAGGTGGCAGGCTCTTTCTAATACTGCATTCCCATTCCGAGGTCAAGAGCCTTTGAAGTTCGAATTTTAATTAGAAAGCAGAAAATAACGACACAATTTGTCCATTCATTTTCCCGTTTAGCACAGATTCCTGATAGACCATGCATCAGCTGCAACCTAAAAGGATATTTCTATAGCTTTATTTATAGACTTCCATTACTTGATGTGCACGTAGATCTCTGCTTCTGTCTGTTAAAGAAGCCACAGGGTAAAACCACTTGTCTCCCAGACAGTTGAGTACATGAATATTATAGAGTACTGGAACATGCCCTGCTAATTCTGGCAGTCCTGTGCTATGACCATAATAAGAAAGGATCACTAAAAGTACAAAATGATCTTCGAGTCATAGGATATCACCAGATCTGCAGGGATACCTATCTGTTCTTCAGGCTGGGTGGTGGTGGTGGTGGGGGGGGGGAGGTGTAGGGTTTCAATGTACAGCAACATACTTTAATATACATCAATAATCTTTTTTTTTTTTTAAATGATATATATAGTTTTTTTTTTTAAATGAACTACCAATTTTAACATTAGAGTGTTTACTGTTGTACCCCCTCCTTTTTTTCTTTGTGTTTTTTTTTAAGTGATAATTCACTATAAAATAATTTAGTCCAATGCTGGGAAGCATTGGGGACACAGGGCACGATTGCCACATTTTGCAATCAAATGCTTCTTATAGAGTGCATAATCCAGTGCTTCTCTATGAAAAACATTAAGATCACTGAACGGTAATGCCACGACAGTGACCCCTGCTCACACAGTGTAACCCAGAGAAGAACGTATACCGGACCTTAGAGTGGCCGGACTAACGTATAGAGTAGTCAAATGGATAGCCAGAGATCAAGGGAGTACAGAAGACTGATCAACGATAAGATCTAGCCAAAGTACGGGAAAACAGAGAGCAGAGTAGTCAAAAGAGAAAGCCAAAAATCAATAACCAGGGAATCAACACTAAAGGAGAGTATGAGCACTAGAGGTACTAACAAGAACCACACTAGGGCGCCTTGCAAGTGCCAGGGGCACCCTTTTATAGTGTGGGGTATTTTGCTTTAAAACCATTCTGGGGGCGTGGTCGCATGTGACCGACGTCGGCATTTACTTGCCGTATTATAAAAATATGTGTGGCGTGAGCGGCCGGCGTCAGAGGGGCTGCGCCGCTCGCCGGAAGAGGATGCTGTACGGCGTGGGACCGAGGAGGAAAGGTAAGGCATCGTTACAGGTAAGACCTTTGATTTTGATTTTCACAAGGAAGAACATCTATTGCCAGCCCCAGCTCAGACTGACAGACTTGGTTGACACTAGAAGCATGGTATCGGACAAATATAAACATTGCCGTTTCTCTAAAACAGCAATTCTTACATTATCTGAAGCATGGGCGTTGCTACGGGGTGAGGTTATTTCACAACCCAATATCCACTTCTGACATAGAGACTAACCATTCTAGAGCCAAAACTGGTCCCTACTGTTATCAGGGTAATTCTTGGTCCATTTAATTTGGCCTTGGACAAACTTACAGCCTGATTTATAGTTAATAAAGCTTACGAATCGCGCATGGAACACATTCTATTTGTGAGCAAAATTGGTATTCAGATTTAGTCCGTTTTTTTCATGACACTTAATATCTGTCAAAAGAGTGACAAAACCATTTTACTGATAATTTCCTTGTATTTCTCGAGCAAATGATGCAAATTGCTGACATAAAGCACAGTTGCCCCTACAGATTTTCTTTGTAGCAAAACTAGCAACACACAATCCCTTCTGGGTCAGAGCTGTAGAACACTCAAGGAAA